AAAATCTGAGTATGTGCCATCCTGCAAAATACTCTTCCGCTAAAATTTTACACACGTGATACACGAGCAATACACATGGGCTAACTTGAAAGCAAATTGCAATGCAAGAACAAAATAGATACAGTGATTTTGGTAATATTTTCCTCTCCAACATTGTATTGGAATATTAGCCAAAGAGTTATTACTCACACACATCTGCTGTGCATTTAAATAGAATTTCTGTAAGGTTCTGTGCCTGTGCATTTGTAGGTGACCACAACAACCAATTTATGCAGTCATGTCGCACAAACATCTAAGAAGTGACTGATCAATTTATCTGGAAGATTGTTGGTGAGGAAACCAGGAAAAAATTCCTTTTCTTTGCAAATACACTATACCTGAGCAATACACATGAGCTAACTTGAAGGCAAATTGGAATGCAAGACGAAAATAGATACAGTGATTGTGCAATACTTTCCTTAACCTCCTGATCATTCCTAGGAGCTCAGGTTGACTGGTGGTGATTTCCACCAGCCCTGTATCCCATGCTTTAAAAATGTTAAGGCTCACACCATGGAAAAGTGCTTATACCTAGATGAAGGATCAATGCTTCACTCAGGCCTCAACGATTGCCTGGCATCTGAAGTATTTGTTTCAGGCTGATTGAACCATTATAATACTATAAGAAATGTAGAAGACAGCTTTGCATCTCCGTGAGAAGAGGGCTAACTCTGCTTCGGAAATAACTCAGTTTATTTCAGCTGCTTTAATCACGTTGATCAAAGGGATATTTTAGCTCTGAGCTGCTTTAGTACCAAGAAAATTGATAAATGATGCAGAAATAATGAAATGCTTGTTGGTCAAACTCATTGGATTTAAAGTCACAATGTCAAGACCATGGGATACAAGTCTAAATGCTTTACTTACCATGCTCAATTGGCTGCTGTGTATCGTCTATAAAATACACAGTCAATGCACTTTACAATATATTTTGTGAAGTGCATTGAGATGTCTCAATGAAATGATAAGGCACTATATCAAATGGAAGGTTCATTATATTATTACTTGTTACATTTCATTTATAATAGCACAGATGAAACAACTCCATAATGTTGAATATAGTTTGACTGGAGTCACCCTTCCATAAGGTTGAGTAACCCAATCTCTCCACTGGAATATTGGGGATTAGAAGGATATATCATTGAGGGTTCACATAGTCACAACCTTCTCTATTACAAGTTATCCCCTTCCTTTCTCCCCAGCTGAACTAGTATATATCACTATTATGAGGCAACTACCTCTATCAGAAAGAAAATAAAGGTTCTGCTTTTATTAGGCATTTCAAATCAAGGCAAAAAGTGAATATTTATGTCTAAAAATAGCACTGATTTGGGGAATACAAAAGTCTTAAATAATAAACCGAACTAAAATGACTGCTATTCATTGTACTAATGATATGTTTAAAGCATAAGGATTGTGCAGCTTTCTACACCTTTGATTAATCAAACTGTAAGTAAACACACAAGATATTGCTTGACATTGCATTTATTAAATGTTATGCTTTATTCACTTCACTCAATACAATAAATATATTTGTCACAAAAATGACTAAGGATATATTTTTTCTGCAGGTATAGGGATAAAGTGCTTTTGAGTCTACACTAGCAACTACATCACAATTTACACTTTGTTGGAGACATTACGCTGCCAGTTAATTAGGACATTGCAGTTACACCAATGGGTTACAAACACGGCTTTAAAGAAGAACAACACGCTAGAAAAGTGCTTTCAATTTGAAGTGCTTTTCCCTTAGAAACTTTTTAGAATCATTCTCATTGTCCCAAATTGCTCATTTTTTACTCCTGCAGAATTGTCATGTTGCATATTCTGGGTTTGCTTACCATAAGTGTGAACTCCAGTCTACTCAACATAATGAAAGCCATCTGAGGTGGGATCCTTTGCATACGTCAGCCAAAATAGGCCTTTCTCGTTTTGCAGGACACTTTTTTCTATTAAAAATATTTTTCCAGTGTATTGTACTCCTTTATCAACATTCTATTAAACAGGTGGGATTTCATACAAGGTGAACCTGGAGGGGAAATCTACATTCTTCAAGTCAAATTGATTTCAAAATATTTTAGTGGAATTACTGCTTTACTCACAAACCTCGATCACATAAAAACACTGTCAGATCATACATGCACAAATGCAATAAAAATAAAGGGATTTATGCTGCAGGTTATAACAACCTCAATGCAAAGTTTGTCACAATGGCAGTACCTAAATGTAAATATACCCCACTACACTATTTTAAAGCAATCTTCTACTGTTCCTATTATACATCTGCAAGTTTCACTATCATTAAATATTACTGCTGAATAAAACATCATACAGAGAACATTTTAAGAAGCTATCCTGGATAATATGTTCCCCAAACCAACCTTTTGTCAGGAATTAGAATTTGATTGGACATTTGAATAATAAGCAAACTCATCTACAATATATGTAGATCTATTGGCAAAATTGACAATCTTTTCCATGCATATTTATTTTGTCATTTCCCATTATAAATGCACAATGAAAGGAGCATTAATTTTAGAAATCAGCATATGATGAATATTTAGTGAGAAAAGTTTAAAGGACATTTCAAACATACTATAAGCTTTTCTGAATATCATTTTGCAAGCAACAACTTTCTCTTTTTTAATTTAATCCTCAAATTTGTGTTAGTCAGAAAAATAAGTTTGACAGTATTATTTTGGGGCGAAATTCCAACTCATCCTATTGCACAAAGGAATCTACTTTGTAACATTAGAATTTATAGACAAGAGAATTCCATTGTCTATTTCATTTAAGGGTGTCATGACTATGGCCAACGGGAACTCTCTAGCTGAGCTGTAAAACTTTTCAAGAGATTTGGGATTGCTTTAAAAGAAACAGTTTACTCACTTAATTTCTACGGAGAGTTTAATTTGAATTTTAAGCACTCCTATATTTATGCACATAATCCAGAATCATATCGTGTGTATGCATTTTTTTGCAAATGCTTCGGACGCAAAACATATTATATTCCTGAATTGCATCTCTGATTAACAAAGTTTGAGTTAATAATAAATACCAGATGGCTGTATAAGATGCATTGTGGAACAAAAAGGGCTTCTCCACAGTGAAAGACAATAATGTAGTTTAAGGATTATTTGTAATAGAAGTAAAATAATTATTAAGTGTGTGCTCATTGTTAGAATATGACATATATAAGGAAATGATTTAAGGCAGGGCTAAATAAAATTGTAAACATTAAATTGTTAATCTTGTTTGTATTAATCCATTTTGTATCTGAACCATCACTCAACATCTGTTAATAGCACAAGTTGTTTTTTAAGAAGAAATGGTCAACATGAAATGTTGAAGTAAGACAACCACTGGCCTTAGGAGGATACAAGCTGTTTTGTAGTCAAAACGCCCAGTTCTTGGGAAACACAAAAGTAATAGCACGGTTGACTCTTTTCCCAGTTGCGAAAGACCTATGTGCCTGACCATTGATTGGATGAACAAAGAGGTGTAAAGCATGTCACGAATAAGATAGGAAAGGTATAAAGTTGAAAGCTTGTTGACATAAAGCAGCAGACTTAATAGGGAACCAGGCACATGGGAGACGAAGAGCCAAGCACACTGACTGCTCCAGAACCGGGTAGTTTATGTTTTATGGATTCCTGCTGTGCTTAAATTTAAATAAACTGAGTTAGCCACAAAACTTTATTGTCTGGTCTTTTGACTCAAACACTGGGACTTGAGATCGCAACATCATGGCAAACAAATGGTTAAAGGTTTGTTACTGTACTATGTATTTTGATGCCTGTAAACATGTTTATATACAGTTCCCTTTGTGATGATCGTGAAGTGATAGGATTTGCTGCCAAAGATTGTCAAAGGGCAAAGGAGCAACTATGACTTGCAAAGGTGAAGGCTGCAATTTAATAACTTTGATTCTGCTGTGAACATGGATTTAAACAGACGGGCACATGAAACATACTCCATTCTATTTTCTCATGGCTTGCTTACAAAGTCTACTGCTACTCTTTCTGAATGAACAGGGAATTGTTAGGTAAATGTGGCAAGGACTTCCATTTTTAGACCCTTTTCATATTACAATTACAAAGAAACTGTTTGAATGTTTCCATTTCAAATCACAAATCTTCAAAATAAAGCGCTTTGGGACGTCCTCCCGACGTGAAAAGCGCTATATTAAATGCAAGGATTATTATTATTATTATTATTATTATTATTATTATTATTATCACTTGCACGCAGGGGCACCACTTTAATGAAAAATGTTTTTAACTCAAACAAATATAAAGCACGTTGTAGCATTTTAGAATGGATTCCTACTTATAACATGTCAGAAGCAACATCAGCCTTTGAACTGTTGAATATTTTACAGATAGTTAAATCTACTGAAATACTTGCATGCAAGGTGAAGAATTGTTTTATATATAGGTGAACTAACTCTCATTTAGTAATACATTTAAATTAATTCACCTGCCTGACACTTTTCTAGTTTATTTTTGTAATATATTGTTTGATGATGAATTATGTTTCTCTTAATGAATTCCAATCCTATATACAATATCTCCACGTTTTTACTGCACTGCTTTGCTGTTGCAAAGCTGCACAGATGGGAGCAGATAGGACCAGTCACAGACAACACCAAAGTCTAGCAGACTAACATAAATATGCTCATTATAAAATCATACTTGAAGTTTTAGGGTCTATTTTGCGACGTGACTGATAACAATGAAGAAATTAGATGTAAATTAATCAGAGATTGTGCAAAATAAATAACAAACCATGCAAAAAGTTTGCCCTAAAAGTACGAGTTAAAATGGATTCTGCTGATTATTCTTTGAGGAGCAAATTGCTGATGAACCTGATTTACATGATTCAGGGTGATGTCCACAGGAAACATCCTCTCAGTGATTTGACATTGATATTCGTGCTGAGGCAGAATCCCAATTTTCCTGCTATTCCTTTTCTGTATTTCCTACTTGGCCATTGTGTCCACATCTCGCATCCTTGAAAAACAAATTTCACAGAGCATTTCACAAAGCAGGATTATTATTATTATTATTATTATTATTATAATCATTCCTAGTCAATGGATTTATAATCATTCTGCAGCATGTCAAAACAATGCAAAATATTCTAAAGCAGGTGAAAGCAAATTATTCTCTGAAATAAAGCTATTTGTAGGCAGGGAGATTCACATGCGCAATTATATTTTATACAATGATTGTGGTTTCTGTGATAATATTGTTTTAAAGGAACTTAAAGTAATAGATTTCTGATGTTTACCTCATGAATACTGTCAAGAAGTTTTCCCATCATGTCTTTCCGTTTCACTTTGTTTCTTTCCATAATCTCAAGTTTGATAGTGATGGCATCAATTTTGGACACAGTGTTGCCAATTAAATGTTCCAGCTGAATCACACGATGTGCCAAACTAGAATGGGAAGATTTCATTACAGAACTGCGCCAATTGATAAAATATGAATTTTAACAAGAGATTTACCAATTAAAAATATGACGAGTTTGCTTTCATTTAAAGTAATAACGTTCTTTTTATTAAACCTCCAAAGCTACTTGGGTGGTTATGTTTTATTTCAAAATTCTGTCGGTGCTTTATTACTCCTATTCACGATACGTACCTTTGGAACTCTTCATCTGATATGCCAGTGTTTGCTTTGTTGGCGATCTTATTGCTTTTTGTATCATCATCAAAGTCTTTTGACTGAGTAAAGGCGTGTGTGCTATTTGGACACATAAAATTCCTTCCCATGTTCTCTATCTCCACACTCAAAGCAACCTGCATAACAAAAATAGACATTATACTTCTGCTTCATTTCATATAATAATTAGGTTACTAAGGAAAAAATGCCTTTGAAATTATGCTAGCAGTTTGTTTGAATAAAGACTGAAAAGACTACCTACTATCACTCATTTTACTCAAAAAAATGTTACCCAAATGTTATTTAGGATCGGGACTAAAGTCTGCAGTCGCAATAGCATGACATGGAAGAAATCAGTAACTCTGCAGAACAAAAATAGACAACCATCACAACTGAAAAGATAGTGATTATTTGCAGCTTAAAGATAGACCCAATTTAGCTTTTTTTTTGCACTGGAACTATAAAGTACTGATGGGACCAGTAGATAAGTGTTACTCTAGTCTTTGGACTGTGCACCAGTTGTTGTTGTTTTTCTTTGTTTTGAACCGAAGATCTACATCATGCTTTTCATCAATTTCTGTCTGGATGGCTAACACTGCTTACCTTCTTTTCTTCTAACTCTTCTTTCATTCTTGTCTGTTCCTCCTCATCCAGAATCTTATTGCCATCATAGTCATATTTCGAGAATGCATCTGCGATCTCTTGGTCCGAATGACCCAACCTGAAAAATATCGAGTACATTTCAAAACATTTCAACAGCACTTTTCTGCGTAAGTTTTGTAATTCAGAAAAATGCAATCAAGAATTGTGCAGGTAGAAATCTGATTTTTTTTTACTAGCAAAAAATCCTCTCAACTTGAAAGGCACGATATAAATGTCAATTGTATTTTGTAAATTCATACCCTTTAAGGTTGTTTTTGAAATCCTCAAAACCTAGTTCCTTGGATCCAATCTGCAGTGCTTTTTGAACATCAGCAATCCTCTCTTTCTTCCGTTTCATCTTCGTTAGAGCTTTATTGTATCCCTTTCAATTGAAACAATACAGATATATTTTAGAAAACGTTCAGGCTGATGGAAAAATACGAAGGCAAGCATACAAGCTTACTCAAACCGAAACTGCAAAGAATGCTGCTGAACAATGTTTTTGATGGACATCGTTGATTATTACATATCGTAATTTCAAAAGGAAATTAAATAAGAACCTTTAGTTTTTTTTATTACGTTATTGCATAAAATGTCGGTATTTTTGCACTAAACAAAAATGGTCAAACAAACCTGCTTGATAAAGTTGGTAATCTGGAGCTCATCTTTCTGATCTGAGAGATCTGCCTTCACCTCAGAATATGTATCATTTATAATAGCCAAGAACATATTCTGAAAGAGAACAATGTTTGAAAAATCATTGGGTAAAATAGCTACTTAATTGAAAGATTGTGAAATTGTTTGATTCGTATTAGATATTAGATGTAACTTACAAGAAGGACAAAGAAAACAAAGAATACATATGTGACAAAGTAAATTGGACCTAAGATTCTGTTGGCGTTGTCTATTTCATCATAATTGAAGTCACCCAGGATAATTCGAAACTGCGTGAAGCTGGGAAAAGATTAAAGAGTTACATGTATAAAATGAAATAGGAGCAAACAGCACTTTAGAATGAGATATTACTGAAGTAATTTCTTTAATGGAGTTGAAAGGTAATTCAGTATTTATTACTTTACTGTTTCAATATATAGAGCTGGGAAAGCCAGGTGACCACGTTTTGAAGGCCCGTTTATTTTTTATTTGCAATGTTTATACTACAGTAGGAAACTAGAGTTACCTCTGTGTTGTTTCACTGCCTACTATAAGTAAAATACATCACTGGGTTGTATACACAGAATCTTTATGTGTTTGTCCTTGAGCCAATTAAACCTGGCAACTGGATTCTTGTTTCAATTTTATCATAAATGTCTGCAAAAATGGTTTGAAATAATTGTTCTCTCCCTTAACTATAGTCCTGTTGATAACATATATTCAATTCTATCACTTTATCCCATAATGTTGACTCATCAGTTTGGAACTCTTAGATTAACTGACTTCTGTACCTGTTTCATCAAGTTCACCCAGTTTAAACTTTAGTTATCACTTTAGGGAATAAATTGGTCGAACCAATTGAGAGAATGCTGGTTTGAGCAAAAAAAAGAGTTTTTTAAAGAAAAAAATTAACATACAAGGCAATATTTGACTGAAGGAGAAGTGAACTTACATGCATTTGAGGAAGGTGCTGAAGTTCTCTACCTGGGTTCCAAATAGAAGGTAGCCCAGCTGAGCGTAGGCGAAGAAAACGATGAAGAACATAATCGCAAAACCAAGAATGTCCTTAGCACACCGTGCTAGTGTCGAGGACAGCTGGGTCATAGTCTTATTAAAACTAATATACTTGAAAATCTGAATAAAGGAAAGCATACATTAAAAATAACTCCTTACTAAGAAATTTGATTACTTTTAAAAGACACATATAGAGTGGCAATGGGACATCTGGAGCACCATCTTCAAATCCTGTAAATGTTTTAACTAAGTTAAAGTTGAGAGAAGTCCATAATGCCCATCTTGACATTTCTCTTACATTGTGGGGACAAATGACTGTTAATTGATGTATTTAACGTTGAGTACTTTGTTGTAAAACGTGTATGCATGGGAGGACAATTAACAGTCATAGAGCAAATTTGTAGACATAAAAGCTGTCAGTGTATTCAGGCAACCAGGTTTAGTTTTGTTTTCTATTGCGGTAATTTTACTTTACATTTGTAATGAAATGGTAAATAATTTACTGGAACGCTCTGAGATGTTAGGAATGGACATTGAGAAAGTTGTGTGTTTAGAGTATTTTATTTATATTTTTCTAAGCAGAGGTTTGCTGTTTGCTGGATTTAGGCTAAGGTCATCTGTCACTCTCAGCCAATTGTCAACTGTATGACTGCAAATAAAACAACACAACCTTCTTTAGGCTGACTACAACAGAAATCAAAAGATCACAGTGAGACCTGTACTCCCAGTGCAAAATCTAGAAAAGGTTAAAAAAAAGTGTAACTCATTAAAAAAACGATTGAGAATAAAACATTTTTTTAATGGAAACTATTTAAATTGTTTGTTTCAGCTGTATTGGGCTAATATAAAGTTGCTACTATTTAAGCATTATGTTTGGTAGTTGAAAAGCAAACAAAACCTTCCAGCCCTGGGAGACAGTGACATAGAATATAATTCTATAGTTGGTGTTTTTCTAGGCATAACTACTTACTTTGATCCAAGCAAAAAACAAATTGACTGCATTCATGTTGTTGTACTGTGTCTGCCAAAAAGCCAAGAATTCAAAGTCAGCATAGGCTTCAGGATACTTCAACAATGCTCCCAATATTATGTTCACTTTAATCGTGCGGAAGATGTGGAAACCTATTGAAACTAGAGAAAGCTGGAAAAGACAATTGGCTCCTGTTATTACCATAGAAGTTGTAGAAACACAACTGTTATTATTACCACAAATTACATTTATGCCTGCTATAAAAAGCAACTTCTCTAATTCTATTGATATCCGTGTTATAGCCACGAATTATGAAATTCTATATTTTAGAATAAATAACAAAAAGCTTTGTCAACTCAATATCTCTAGCAATTTGCTGTTCAATTCCCAATCAGAAGCTCACAAGCTTCAGTCCCTGTTTTACATTTTATTTAAGTTTGTTCATGTTGTATTGGTTCTTACTTGCACTAATCTGACATTAGACACTGTTACACAGTTACAAGGCATTTTTGTTTGAAGTAGGGGAGCTCTCACAACCCGTCAAGCTCTGCTTCAAACACACCTCCTGTTAGCTTATCATAAATCCCTGATAGAGGATGGTTGTATCCACCTCCAAAAAAAGGACAAAATGGTTTAGAAAAAGTATAAACTTACCAATATTACCATCAGGTCCAAGCAGTTCCAAATACATTTTATGTATTGCAGTTTATGTATTCTTATTTCCAGTATCTCTTCCACAATGTAGTAAAAGATGAAGACACAGAAGACTATTTCACAGCCTATGATAAAGTAATCCCAGTTGTTGACATATCGAATGAGTTTCACTGTGCGAAATTGCCAAGAGGTTACTGCACCACCAGTTGCAGGGAATTCTACTACCAACCTTTAAGAAAGGGGCAGTGTTAGAATGAATACAAACACAAAGGCACAGCTTGTGCAAATATCATGAAATTGTTACAAGTTATGTGTGCTATCATCATTAAGATTGTCTGTTATTTATTATTTATTATTTGCTATTTATTATTTGATATTATTTTGATACTTGATGTAAGAATCATTACAAAAGTTTCCTTCCCAATGTATTATTTGTCTGAATGCATCCTCTGGCGAAAAAGTGGAAAGCTACTTCCAGTTATCTGTTCTATCACGGTGGGGTTGGGGTGAAAGGGGTGGGGGGAAGGAACCTGGATGAATTCCGATATTTGCCTTGTTCACTACATCGCAATGATCCAAAGTACAGCTTGGTTTTAACAGTTTATTTTTGTTAATTATCTGGTACAAGATAGTCATGTCACATGTCAAAACCACAACCTGTAGTGCTTAAAACCAAATCAAATACATTCAGTATAATGTTGCTATTCATTTGTTGGACGTGTTACTTAATGATTAGAAGTCAAACTTCTGCAGATTAACCAACCTTTCCATTAACAATGTTGAAATTGCAATACGATATGTAATTGTATACAGTAGTTATTATTGGCTTGAGAGACAAAAACGCCTGGCATCATTCCATATCTGAACTATAACTTAACTAAATAATGATACATCTCCAGACTTTGCAACAAATTAAAAATTCTTGAACAACCTAAATTTAATGTTTAGGATATGATTGATGTCTCTACGAAAGTAAACATTTTTATGACCCACCTTATAATGCAGAACAGATTAATGTTGGCATTATACACTGAAAGATCAACGAAAACTGCCCGAGTCCCTCTGTCCAGCCACAGGTTGTCCTTTAGGTCCTGTAGAATTGCAGAACTTTCGACCATATTTGACTTGAGGTCCTGGTAATAACCACCACCACTGTACACAGTTAGCTTACCCCAGTGTGAGGAGCCTCCAAGTTGTTCCTCGGAAGAGTAGGTCCATCTGTGTAAAGACCACATTCAATTAACAAAATAAATGTATCACATTTACCTGTGCATAAAACATGGTTACAGTGGCAGATATTTGTGCTTTCCTGTAACATTATTTAGGATCTATCAATAATTAAATCTGCTTAAAATCCCAACAAATTGATATTAAAATGGTGTAATTTATTAATTTCAGTCAGAAATCTTAGACAGATCTCAAAGCTATTTAGAAGATGTAGTTTATAAAACCATGTGCTAAATGTTAATAAATAGAACTATTTAGGAATTCAATACTGTGAATTCTGTAAACTGTGGTTTTATTTTACTGATAATATTAAGGAAGAAACTAAGAGTGAAAAACTTCTAGAGCAGCTCATGTGTAATCATAACTACATTGTGTGGTATCAGGAACATTCAACCCATTTTTTGGAGACATTAATATGCTACTACATGATTTTGCTTTCTTCCATTAATATGTAGTCACAGCACAACATTGAACAGGCAATAAGTGGAACAATTATTGTCCAATGTGATATTTGTTTATTCCATTATTAATAAAAAAAGGATACACTCACGCTGTTCCATTTTGAAGTCCAAATGGAGCTTTGTTTTCATTGTCTAATGAATAAACATTATAGCATCCAGTGATGTCTTCTCGAAAGTCCTTGTGAACCACACACGAGTTGTTCATTACTTTTATCTGTCGGATTCGCGGTACACCCAGCACCATATTCTCGTAGTAAATGAATGAATGAGGGCCACGTGAGAAGGAATCGTTATTGTACCACTTGGTCCAGTACAATCCATTCAGCAATGGACCCTGTGTGTACTGAATCAACACAAAACAAACAGGTTTTATGCAATTCATGAAGATAAATGCACATAAAAGTAAGATGTACAAGCTTTCAAAATATTTATAACGTATACTTCAACATTTTCTAACGTGAAGGGCACTGTACCAAATGCAAGGATTATTATTAAGAATGTACAGCAGTGGACTTTTTAAGCTGTGTTTATGCACTACAATAATAATCATATTCTCCATTGGAAGAGTGAAAATAAATGCATTCAAGGTAGATCATCACCTAAGAGTGGGTAGGTAGATAGAGACCAAACAGGATGAACCCCAGGGTTAGAATGATGAACCCTGAGGAATACTTAATTTCTCCATCCAGTCACCTCAGTTATGTTATCATCATCCTGATTATATTTGAAAAATAGGAGCATTTCCCAATAAGGCTTTATTACTGATTAGCAAGTCAGCAACCTACAATATGTTTTACATTTATATAGCACCTTTCATGTTGGGAGGATGTCTCAAAGCATCAGAATGTAAACCAAATAGAATCGGTCTCTAGACCTAATGGTCATCATTTGTGTTCCACTATGTGTACTTAATACCATTCAGGCCCTTGGCCATTTGATTAAGCAGTGAAATAGAGTTATCTGTTTCCCTCAAGAAGACTATAAAATATTTTTTGAAGAATTTAGCTTGACTTGTTATTTCCTTTGGAAAAGTGAAAACAAACACACATAGTTTCCATAGGGAGGTTTGTAGCTGCCATTTTAATTACTATGGAAACCGTAGCATCATTAAAAGAAGTTTGTTATAACAGCAAAAGGATTCTATGCAACCACATCCTAGAGACCAACTAGAATGAGTAAAACATTTTATTTGGCAAGTGTAGTGATGGGAATTACATCCATAACTGAACTTGAACAGGAAATTACTAGGGAAGTCTAATGTGTTCAATGTCTCACTCTCCACATCAATGTCATTTGTAACTTGTAATTGAAAAACACAATTACAAATGTTCAGAATTTAAACATTCTTCCAGGATCTCCCAGAAGTTGTTCAGCTGAAAAATGGATTAAAAAGATCATGAATCCCATGATATAGATGGAATGACAAAACAGCTACTTTCTGTTATTGCTGGTTGATACATCTCAATAAATATTGTCAGCCTATTAGACTATGAAGACATAACCTAGCCCAATCCTGCTACCAGATGTCTAGTCTCCAGTGAGGTTACCAGAATAGTTATAAGGATTACTCTAGCTAGTTCCGCTCCCCAAAACTTGCCAGTGTTTTCATCAGATGATCAACATTTCTTTTGATAATACTGCCACCTATTGTTGACTTGTTGTAGTCTGGTTGGCAGTCTAAATATTTTGTTGCACCATTTTCTCACCGGTCGAGACTGGAGTTACAAGCTAAGAATGCATTGTTTAATAATTAAGACACAGATTTAGATTGAGAGAATCTCAGGCTTTGAAACCACAAAACCTATTTTCAGTGAAGTTTTAACTCACAGCCTTTTTGAGTGCTTTATACATTAGCAAATTTGCCACATTTTAATGTGAAATATTAATCAACTATATTAATATGAAAATTAAAAGAAATTATTACTGCTGATTTTAAAAAGTCATTTCAAGTGTTTTTCTTTTGACATTATAACATAATATTAACTGAGATATCAATAAATAGAAAGTACCATAAGAAATATTTATATTCACAGTTACAGCAAATTCTTGTTTATAACATATTGTGTGTTTTCCTGTAGCTTGCTGGAAAGAAAGTGTTCTTGTTACATTAGCAGAAGTCTTGTGATGCCTTGTGTTTTAGTTATTGCATCACTGTGATTTTTGTTATCCTTTCAACTATAATCAGTTATCTCTACCAAGCTTAATAAACTACTGTAGATGTAGAATAAATCCTAAAATGTATACTGGATAGAGTAAAAATGTCCTGAACTTAGTTGCACATGATCTCAGGACTCTCCTTACAATGAGAGATCAAAAGACTCATTATTCCCTTGTAACTCACTGGCATTGTACACTTATCTCATCTCACACACGTGCCTTAATCTCTGTATATAATCAAATATATAATTATCTGAAGCCTGTTATGATAGATGACACCAACAAAAAACATACAATGAAACTGAGGATATTATTCATCTTCTCTGAAAAGACAGGTGGAGCTATGCCCAGAATGAATGATCACATTGAACAAGTTGGATTCAGTCCAGGAAACACCTAGTTATTATAGTCAATTTCTGGAACCTTCAATCTGTAGTTACAAAATAAGAACTAAAACAACTGTCTTTTCAGGAGAAAAACAAGTTATTAAAGCAAGACCAGTGAATACTTTTCATAATTAACACTGAATATAATTCTTGGAGGAGGAAATATTGGCGCATAATAATATCACCCATGATAATTACTACATAAATCAAAATGTGACCAAACACAATCAATAGCTATCACTTTACCTTGGCAAGAGGGAAGCACTCACACCTGAAGCCAAATGAGAACTACTGCCAGCCTTTGACTGCTTGTTTTGGTCAATGATAATTATCATATTCTAATATGTTTCCCTATTATGTTTATTGCTCAAAAAATACTTATAAGGTCATTTAAAAAAATCTAGTTTTTTTTGATGATGATAATGGATCCAGTAAAGAATGCAATAGAAATGTTTATGAAACATCTTATTTTAGGAGTAATACTCCAATCATTTGTGCTTCAATAGAACCACAATTGCCCAAGAATAATTTAGGGTAGAAATGATCCCTATTTTCTGCCTGAAAGTTAGGCGATAATAAAAAGGTTTACTTTATGTTCATTCCAAAATGACACCACATGCTGTATTTTTAGTTGTTTGACGGGTCGTCTGTATTCCATAGCAGAATGCCAAAACTTAATCAAAACCCAAGGGTCATGGACCCAAAATATTGACTCACTTTCCTTTCTCCATAGATGCTGCCTGACCTGCTGAGTGTTCCCAGTGACTTCTGTTTTTGATTTGCCAAAACTTAATGACCACTTTTAGAATGCAATGAACACGGGATATGTAAGTATTGTAACAGAAATAACTTGGACCAGCCATGTCATGAAACAGATTCACAGAGCTTTACTCACACTCCAGAAGTCAGCCATGCTGCCAATTGTCTGAAAGGACACACCTGTGTCCGATGCAGCTGAGAGGAAAAGGTTTGACATGACCTTTGTGTAATAGAAAGTATTTGAACTGGTCATTCCATAGGTCACTAGAAAAACAGAAATAAGACAGAAGATGTTATGGTTATACTATCATTAAATGTAATACCTGGTCATTAGTTCAGAGCAAATCCTCTGCTGTTTGGAATTTGCGTTCCAGGTTTTTGATCTCTGTAAAATAATACTATAATCGCCATTATGACTTTGAGCTGCAAAAGATGTTTTAAATTTAGACTACATATGTGTTGATATCTGTACAGTTTTTACATCTCAATTTGAATGAGAGAAACAAAGAAACCTGATCAAGAGTTGAGGTCACTGAAACTTAGCCCTTGGAGCTTGTTACACTGAAGTAGTATTGGTGGGGGAAAGAACGAGACAAACATTCTAACAGAGCCACTAATGATAACCTCTCAATCTATGTTTACAGAAGTTTTGTATTTGGCATTAGTGTGGAAGCCTCCATTCAGTACTTTATCTAAAAACCACGCAGTCACTACCCTTAACAGTAAGTCCTGTGAAGCACTTTGAAATATTTTCCTGACGTAAAAGAAGCTACATAGAAAGCAAGGATTATTATTATTATTATTATTATTATTATTATTATGTGTATTATTATTTGCCTAAACAAACCCCTCCTTTTGTTTCTGCTTCCAATATCTAATCATAAATGTTGTTAATCTGAGCAGACTCAAGAATATCCCTTAGAATATAAATTTGTGATTCTTGTAATCGATGATTGAGCCCCTGTAATGAGAAATTAATAGGATTGAAGAAAACGCTCCTAATAAAGATGCTGGAAAACTTTGAGGAAAATCAATTAGCAACTAAAATGGAACCGTCAGAACTGTCCACTAATCAACATTACCAACACGTCAGCCTGCAAGCTTTCTGCATGTTCTCATTCACCTGCATAAATAATGTAAACCTGAAAACAATGTCCGTCCCATTCAAAGAGAAAGAGGCATTTATTATCAGGCACACCTTTTGCCCTGATATATCACAGATTAATAACCTTTGCTTCTGTTCAAACCTATTAAATCACCTTAGTGCGACTTGGCAAACATTTGTAAATCTTGATTTATGAATTACATGCTTGGCTCCTTTCATCAGAATAGAAATACTTTGCAGTAAATGTTATATTTCCACAGGTGTCTGTCAGAGATAGCAATATAATGCTATTGTTGACAGGTCCAGATTCATTTCATTCATTTCATTTTATGACCTAACAGAAAGTATCATCACAATTAGCTTTGCTCAGAAATAAAAGAGGTTTTGAAGCACAAACATTAGCACAATGCCTGTGCTCATATCACCTTCTTGCAGATTCTAATTAATTCAACAGCAACACATAATAGACAGGCATTTAAACATTGCTGCAAAAGAAAACACAATTCCGTTGTATCTATATTAAGTTCATAGAAATTGATGACTTCAATGCCAGTTCAAATGTTTAATTCAATAGTGTAACCTGAAGCCAGGATGAATTGAATAAGTTTAATTCATCATATAGAAAAAGCAAAGTAAGTGAACAGGTGTTCTATACCATCAGAGGCCAAGTAAACATGAGGCACAATAAACTAATCTTTGACCAGCTGATGAAACCTTAGTGAATACAAATACAAAAAACAATAAATAAAAAGGATTATCAGAAAGTCACACTCTTCAGAAAGAGGATTCAGGAAGAGAGAGACTCAAGCTCAAAAATCATATGGTAATAATACAGAAATATTATGTAATAGAAGATACCATGCAATAAAATACAAGTAATGATCTATCTCTTGTGTAACTTTCAGGGTTTCATGCTGATTCTCCCTTTTTGATTTTTATCAAGTAATGAAAACTAAATAAATCAATTGTTCCATACTTGGGAACATGGCATTTTAACAGGGATTCCTGAAACACCTGAGAGACCTAATACAGCATTGCCCTCCAAAGATAGAGAGTGCAGTAGGTTCAAGTTTTACCTGTGGTGAAATAACCTTCAAGTAATTTTACCTTGTATGCTTTATTATTTTACCACTTTGCACATCATGCAATGGCAAAAATGTAAGAAATGTTGGATCTGATATATTTAGATAGTCACAACATTTCAAAGTATAATCGAGTAAATTACCTTGAAAATATGAAAAACATGAAAAACATCGTCAAACTTTCCATTCTATAGATGACATCATTGAAATATCTCAAACAATATGATACGATTTAAGTAAAGGGTAGTGGCTGTATATTTGAGGTCAAATAAGATGCAATGTCGAATTCAAGTATTGTAGTGTTTTATTAATTCATTCTCAAAGGGAGTAAACATCGTAGCCCTCGCTTCTGAGTCAGAAGATGTAGGTTCAAGCTCCAGGTCAGGACTTGAATTTGCATAGTCGAAGCTGACCCTCCAATGCAGTGCCTGAGGTACCATCCTGATGTTAACTGAGATCCCATCTGTCTGTGGGACACTGCAGTGTGTAGAATGGCTGTCGCGATTGCCCACAAATAAAGTCACTTCACGATAAATCTCGTGGAAGCTCTTTATGACATCCTTCTGATGTGAAAGGCACTATCCCAACGGCAAGGATTATTATCATCATCATCTGATGAACAGATACATTTGTATCAGTCATTTTGAATGTGAGCAAACGTGCTGTTATTGAGCCTGTATTTGCTGCTGACTTTGATATTAGAAAGAGATACATTACTTACATAAACAGATGTCCACCAGGAAAACAATGTAAACCAACAGCTCTCGCAAGGTTGTCTTGATATAAAGCTCTGGATTGTTGGACGTATTTTCAGTTAGTTTCGTGCTCCACAGGCCTGTAGAAAGGAAATAAAGCACCATTGTTGCATGAAATGAAAAGCAAGCAACAACAACTAGAACAACATAAATAGTGCCCATCGCACAGGGTAATGTCTTAGAACACTTAATATTGGTGAAGCTTGACTTCGACTTGGGGAGAGAGGAGAGTAGGCATTGAGCACCATAATGTTGGAACAGTCGATTTCAAAAATAAATGCTCTAACCACTGAACTACAGCATGCCACTAGATAACTAATATTGCAACCAACAGTCAGGCTGGTACTTTTCAGAGACAAACAGGTTGAACATCATTGCTGGTCATAACAAACTGAAAAGGGTATACTAACCCTGGCAATGCTCTTTGGGATAATGGGAACTTTAGTTTCCTATTAACGGGCAGAGAATGTCTGCTTAAAAGGGAAACCTAGTTACAAGTTCCTTTCACTGTTGTTAGCTTCAAGAAATATTATTTCTTTCCAGTCGTTCAGTACAAATTCTTTCATGAGACAGAATATCGAAAATACAATAATTACAAACTGTTCTCTCGATGGAATCTGAAATACTTAAGGGTATTTGCAAACTAGAAGCTTCCTTTATTTTGTTTAAGAAAGGCTACAGATGCTGTAAATCTAAATTGAAATAAAATTGCTGAAATCTACAGCAGATCATTCAAGAATAACACATTATTAGATTTATTTGTTTAAAAATGTCAATCTCTGAGGCACCCAGTTGTAACTCTTCTATAAACACATTTTTGGGAAAATCAACATTTTTACTATCTTAGAGGATTGGATCTGATTTTATTTGTTTCTACACGACAATGTTAAAGCAGCAACAGTTGAAGAAGATTTTAAAGTCTGAGCTGAATATTGAGAGTATCTTTCACTTACTGCGGATTCCTTTAAAGACAGCGGAGCAGCAACCAGAGGAAGGTGTCCCATTCTTTCCCGGCTTTTCTTTACTTGGGTAAAATGGGGGTTCGTCGCAGCTGTAGGGGTTGGCTGGGAAGGAGCCAGGATTGTAGATAGTCTGCACCTTGAAGGGAGAGTTGGGAGGAGATCCCTCGAACCCCGCATTATCCCAAGCTGTCTTATTGGTTAAACTTTCCATTTCGTGCACTTCTTTAGCTGTAAACTTGAAGCCGTTGTCCTGAAACGAGCTCATTTTAATCAACTGCAGCCTTTGGCGATTCAGATTCTCCAGGGCTCTTGTCCTGGGGCAATTCTAGTTTAAGCAATCTGCAGTGTTTGCCAGGGTACTGTATGAGTGCAACTCATGCTAACTTAGCTCAGTGCCTCTCCAGCTTTTGTTAGTAGATGACGCCATAGTAAAGGGAGGGGGCTGGGTTCTGAAAGAATTGCAGTTTCCAGTGACATGGAGAATTGAAATGTTTTGAAAAGCCATGGGAACAAGTGACAAGGATAATGCATTAACCCTCTCGGGTGAAAATAGCTTCTCTAAATGTTTGTCTTTAACAAGTCGGGTTATTTTGACACCCTCCCTACTCCAAATTCAAGTTAAGTCACAAAATACGTCAATTTACCTCAAGAGCACGTTGTAAAACAGCAGTTTTGGATTAAAACCAGAAATGTTGAAAATCCACAACCAGCCAACCAGCGACTGGAAGCAAATTTTATTTTATTTCAGATAAAGTTTTCTCTTTTTATTCGCACCATTGGATTAAATAGGTCCTTCGTAATAATGGAGCGAAATATTAACAACCGGTTGTTTCATCTGTAATTGATTATTATTTTGGAAGCTTTAGTATTAAAAATAAAACAGCAGAACAATAGCTACAACAACAACAACAGGGTAGCATCCTGGAGTGCTTGACAGTGCCAGAGTCTGTCCCCATGCCAGAGGGAGAGGGTGGGGGAGGTGACTGTAAGCACGATCAAAAAGGAAGGTCTTTAGGCGGGATTTGAAAGTGTGGAGGGAGGGGGCAGGACAGAGGGAGAGAGTTCCAGAGTTTTGGGCGTAGTGGCTGAAGGCACAGTTACGGATCGAGGAGCAGAGGGGACGAGGGTCAAACAGGAGGCCGGAGCCAACCTAGCGGAAGCAGTGGGTGGTGGAATGGGGGTAAGCAGGTCAGATAGGTAAGGAGGTGCGAGGGCTTGAAGGGGTTTGAAAATGAGTGAGAGGATTTTGTTGGGTATCAGAGGCGAGATTGTAGCCAACATATCTTTCCACATTTGACTTTTATGCTGTTTTAGCACAGATATTGCAAAAATACAATCTTACTGTTTATGTCTGTTTAATAAATGGCATTTAGTGTTTGGTTTGTTGAAGCTGAATTGAAGATATTCCCCAGAGAAGGTCTCCACCTTGTGTTCCTTATCTGCTATTGCGACAAACTTCAATCCAGGCAATATATCACCAAAAAAAACAAATTAAATTTTCTTCCATTCCAATTGTTCAAATCTCAGAAAGAATAGAGTTTTGATAGCTTTTGATTCAAGTCTTCATCAGAAATAGTCAACCTTGATTCAATTGCTGTTTGAATGAATTATTTGTCTACAGAAATACAGTCACTGCACTTTACAGTACAGTGTACTTTAAAACAACCTCCTGAAATAAAAGGGCACTATATGAATTGCAGGGTGTATTATTATTATTATTGGAAAATAACAAAACCAAGTGTAAACAATACATATAAAACATAAAACCTAGTTGAATCAAAAAGAAATATTGTTTATTTTTGTGTAATTGTTGACACGATAACAAGGTTCAGTTAGACACTGTTAGAAGGATGGATGTCCTTCAGATTTAACTCTGGCAGCTGTTTGACTACAGAAAGATTCAGTTGTACAATAACATCAATTGAGTAGCCAGAGATTTGCACTGCCTAATGCTCACTCCAGGACTCCAAGTTAGTATATTATGGTGACTGTCTCTTAGAAAATCGTCCACTATTAAAAAAACAAGGTAAATAGAACTGAGGAAAGTTTGCCTTGCTTTCAAACTAAATTAACTGTTTTTACATCAAGATTCTGAAAACCTTTGAGCATGCAAGAATTGTATACAAATCTTATTAGAACTTACTGCAGTGAATTGGGAACAGTTCTGAACAGAAGGGAAAGGTTCAATAAAAATGGGAGTTGGTATATTCCAAGCTGTGTCAGTGTTGGGTTAAAAAGTCATTTGGGGGGTTTATAGACATTGATTTATTACTAGAGAAGCTGAGAAAGTAAGTTCTGCCAACGCATGGAAATTCTCTAACATAACCAATAAACAAGGCAAACAGGATGCTGGACTATATTACTAAATCAGTTGAGTTTAGATGCCCAGACATCATTCTCAGGCTGTATATTGCTCTGGTCAGACCACATGTTGATTACTGCAAACAGTTCCGGTCACTGCGATTTAAGGACCCGAGAGGCAATACAGAGGAGAACAATTAGGATAATCCCTTGTCAGAGGAATAAACCATGAGCAACGACTAGGCAAGTTAGGCACTTCGGTCTTGATAAAGAGGACTCAGAGGACTCATAAAGTTGTGTAAAATTTTAAATGGAATTGAAAAAATAAACCCAGATCTTTAATTTAGGATATATTGTGACAGTAGAACAAAAAGACATAGGTTCAGGTTTCTAAAGGGCAATTTCAGGACAGATACCAGGAAGTTTTTCTTTATGCAGAGGGTAATCAACAATGGAACAGGTTGCCAGTAAAGTTGACAGAGGCAGGAAATTGGACTCATTTAAAAAGCAGGTTGAAGCAATGATGGGGACAGTAGGGTGGGTGTTCTGGAGGGATGAGATTAGATGGGCAGAAGGGCCTTCTTCATCCAAACCGATTTTGTGGTGACTGAATTTTAGAAGGCAGTTTACATGAGGCAGAATGACTTGTGTCAAATAGTTTTCATTGCCAGAAGGAGTCCACACTCAGTTGTAGTAATTTCCTGCTAACAGACCACAATAAATAGAATTGGTAATTTTCAAATTTAAATTAATAGCAATATTTTAGACTTAACTGAGATTTGGGAAACAATGTCAGTAAGTTCAACCTAATAATTAAGGAGTGAGAATGTGTGAACGTTATGCACAGTTCTCTGTGTTCATAACTTTTGCTCATTTGCTAATATAATTATCGATCAATGATGTGATCTTGATTTCAATCAAACTGAAACCCAACAGATGAATGTTGGAGAATAAATTATGTTAAGGCAGATGAGTCAACTCAGAGGCTGCAAATGACAGAATTTGGCTTGTGACCAACCCAAATATCACCCAGTATAACAAGCACTGCTATGTTAAACTAATGCATTTTAATTCTACTTCCTCAAGTAAAAATAAAAATAAGCAATTAAAGAGTAATGTCGTTCATGACTCTTCATTGTGTTACAGTGAGAGGGTTCTGTTGCCTAAACAAGTTGAATGTACACTGCGGTAGTAGCAGCTGTGCAGTCTCTCCTCAGTATTAAGTGCTTTCCTTGTTCCGAAACTGGCTTTGTTAAGGACAATAACTATACAGCCTGTTAAATAATTAGTAAAACAAGGGCCTGCTGTTGGTTGTGCTAATTTTAATTGTACAGCCACATTCAGAACAGTTTGGCTTTAAAACTTTCCTCCAGCATATGGCGCAAGCTAAATTATAAACAATCAATCAGGCTCCTCTAATCCATTTGAGTTTTAAGGTAAAGTTTCGGGTTGCCATGGTAGTTTCCCCTTCTCTGCAGTCCGCTACAATGGTTGCAAAGAAAAAAAATAGTTTAACAATAGGGATGTGCTCATTTTGACTAATAGATTGCTGCAAACATTTAATAATTAGATCATGGTTCAAGAGAGATGTGACCCAAGCAAACCCTGCAGGTCACTGTGGTAACATGGTTATAATGCTACGCGTCATTATGTCAATGTTTTGTGACCTTGAGTACTCCAGGCCCAGTGACAGACACAGGGCAAGCATTTTTAAATTAAAATAAACCTGGGTGATCTCAACTTGCCATCTGAGATTTTACTGACTCTTCTATCATCCATGTTTTCTGTGTTTATTTTTACATGCAGGTAATTTGTGGGCAGCGGAGTGGGAAACTAAAATAAAATTTCAATACGATAATTAGTTACTAGGAAAATACATATTACATCTAAATTAAGTCAAATGGATTTAAAATATTAATAACATCTGTGAAAATCGGAGTAACTGACGAGGTTTCAGAATATATGTGCGTGATACCTAACAGCTCGATGGCAAAGTGACGACTACATCTTCAGCTAGGCATCAATCTGCTTCATCTGTGTCCAGTTTCTGGCAGATATCACTCTTGCCACCAGACAGTGTGTTCAGCCCCACGAGGTGACAGATCCATCTCTCCTTGTGCTGGGGCACGTTTGCACAGGAACCGGGTGCTCTCTGCTATGCCTCCCAAGAGGCCATTCTTCCTGTGTTAGCTTGAACAGTGAATGTCAGCAAACTGTTTGACTACAGATTGCATCACAGCTGAGGCTGATCCTGTCCTGACTTGAAACTCATATATGTACACTTTCTAGCAGTGAATACTGCTAACACTGAAAGCCAACCAGGATGGGGATTATTTTCACTCCCTTGCCCAGGGCCCTGGAACCTACTGTAACTTCACCACTGCTGCCTCAGCTGAAATCAACAACAACTTGCATTTATATATCACCCTTGACATGGGGTATTGTTTTGCAACGCTTGAAATCAGATAACTCAGCACAGAACAAACCCAGTGGGTAGCGGCTTTTGTATCCCACTGCGGGAGCTGCATGCCATTCTGAAAATTATTTTCTTGCTGCCTCCATGCCTCTCCTTCTGTCATACAACTCCACTATGGAAAGGTGGGCTGCAGGGGTGGGACCAGGGTACAGGATGAAATATAAATATAAATATAAAATCCTATTTTCTCCCAGTATAGATGTAACTTTTCATTGAGAAGGTTAAGCAGGCACTAGTCCTTTTCCAAGGCAGCAGGTAAAGGTAGGTGATCAAAATCAATGTTTTCAAGTCATTGCATTTATTTGTATGGAAAGGTTTAAACATTTCAACATAATAATAATCCTTGCATTTGATATAGCGCCTTATCACGTCTTCAGGACATCTGAAAGCACTTCACAGAATATACTGTAAAGTGAATTGACTGTATATTTTATGGGCGAAAAATACACCATACTAGGATATTTCCATGGCATATATTATCCTGGAAG